GTTTGTAGGTGGTAATTAATAATATTGAATTGTGGACAAGCCAGTCCTTGTTGTGTGTCACTGTCAATAGAATGTTAACAGAAACCTGTATTACTTTTCACTGAAGATTGGTCCTGTTAACGTGAAGATTTGTGGCTAACGTACAAGTGAGACCAAGTGGTCTTTGTAGTTTGTCTCAGTGTAACGCAAAATTGGCCAAGTTTTAAGTGAACCTCAAGGGGTGATTCATAGGTACATGTTAGGATTAAGTGTCCAGTATTCAACTTAATTTTAAATAAACTGTCTTTATTGTATGTTGGGGTACCATTATCCCTGCAGTATTTTACCTTTGTTTCTCCAAAAACCTTGGTACCAGTAATTACAGTAAACTCACGTGTCCTAACTCTCGACCCATGCTACCACAGATAAGAGTTAGGTGGTATCTATGAGAAGAAGAATAACTAAGAAATAGCTAACATAAGTAATTTATAAAGTTAGAAATTGAGAGAAAGAAAGTTTGAAGAGAACCAATTAAGAAATAAAGAAAAGTAGAGAAGAAGGTAGAAAAAAGGAGAAAATTAAATGTAATTACAAAGCCTTCCTTATAAATTAGTTCACAATAGTGGGATAGATAAAATTTAAAAGAAATCCCCTATAGATGTATATCAACGCAAAAATGTTGGGTAAAAGATACCAATATTGCTGAAAAGGTGAAATAGTCACATAGTCCACACCAGTCAGTTTACAAGACATATTTCTGTTGGAGACAATGTTCCCGACACAAGTGTTACCAACAATTTCACGCAATATTCACAATATTTTTTATAACACATGATACCGCCAATGCTGCGTCGGTGTGGATCCACCTTTAAAGTGCCGTAAATCAAGTAAATTTTTCCCCTGCTGCACATAGTCACAGCCTATAGTTGGACCAGCCCTCCAGGGCTGACAGACTAGGCAACTTTTAACTACGTCTCGTGATGAAAAGTTACCACCCTGTGATTAGAAATAAAATTGGTAATTTTTATAGAGCTAACACACAGAGGATTTGACCTTTCTTCTATGAAGCAATTTTTTTAACCTTCAACGCAAATAATACTGTATCAGTGCTTCAAGTATTAGAGCTTCGCTGGTCTCACTCAAAAAATAACTTTGTGGCCGATCTCTTTCCGAAAATTTTGTGTTCGAGGCTTATTATAGTTTTAAAAAACTGCTGTAAAATGGATATAACTGGCCGTATCATGACCGCATTTCTTAAGCCAAAAATAAGCTGATAACGAGTAAAGAAAAACCTTTTTACAAATTCGACTAAAAGTTTCTGACCCACGAAATCTCAGATTCGACCCATCTTGACCCACTCCCGACTCGGGTAGGTCAGCCTTGTGACAAGTGATCAACCTTGACCCACCCCCTAGCGACCCGCTGTCCCGTTTTCCACTCTGCCTCATATGCTACACTCATGAAATATTTTTATGGATTTTGTACATTCATGGTAGAAAAAAAAGGATAATTGTCAAAATAGTGATAACAACAGCCACATAACTACGACTGAGAATAAGGACAGGGTTGGTTAGTTGCCGTAAGACTGTTGGTTATCGCAGAAGTCTCCGATAGACAATAGAATTAATTTGGGGTGAAATTCAGTTTAGGTTCATTAAACTGTTATTTTTCTACGAACCTTTCATTGGTACGATTAACTTAGTGTCATAAATAATATCGCGGAGAGAGAAGGCAACTGTGAAAGGTAGGAAGAGTTGGTATCCTGGACGTGTGGACAACATTACCAGGATGACACTGTAGGGAAGATGTTATTGACATTTATTATTTACACAAAAATGCATGGACCGCACAAAACGAAAATCGCAGTGCCTGGATCACCAAGACTAGTATAAAATCTGCAGTAAGGTATTAAATGTAGGGAATGTAACCTTCAGCTGCAGACGTCCTGGAGAGGGGAGGCGAGGGTGTATGAACGAGATACTTGAGGGAGTATCCCCTGGAGGGAGGGCGGCCGAGCACACATACTCAGTTGCCTGTGGTTCCCTCACAGGGCTCCTCATCCGCCGCAGTGCACCGACACACACGTTATTCAGCTCAGTGTAGGACTATCACAAAGGTGATAGTGAGACCGTGTTATATATAGCAAGGACAAGATACAGCTGGCCAAGAAAGAAGGCACTGTCATAGTTGAGAGGAGTTAGTGTTGCAGTCACTTGCCCACAACACCACCACCGTCATCAGCTTCTCCCGAACGAGACGGCCACCAAGCAACTTCAAGTTAATACTGGCGAAAGAGGAGTTCTCGTTCGTATTAATTTGTTAACCGTGAGGTCCATAAAAACACTACGGCTGTGAAGATTACAATCATGACACAACATAATGTGTGGGTGTTGGGTGTGACTTTGTGTGTAGTAGTGGGCGTGGTGGTGTCCGTAGGGCCCAGATCACCGGGCGTAATACGGACAGCCACAGAGGGAAGTGTTGCCAAGGAAGGACGTATCAGTTACGCCGCCAACCAAGAAGCCCCCGACACTGCTGTCCTGCATGAACTACGCACCATTACCGACCTCATACTCAGAACACAGAGACAAGGCAAGTGTATTTTATTATTCAAAGAGGTTATTATAGTACCATTAAGCGACTGTGTACCCGCGTAATGGGGAGTGCTTACCAGTTGCCAGTTACTTTCACCACTTGTTTTAAGATGATGGAACCACAGTAGGTGTTATAACAAAAAAAATAACTTTAAGGTTAGTTTGGTTATGCTGAGATAAGTTAAGTCGAGTCGTGACAAACAGTTAGGAGAGATCCTGGATACAATATGTTTAGTGAAGAGTGACGGTAGGAAGGAATTAACCACTGATTTTGTTATGGTAACAAGTGCTGAATCATTACCACTGTTTTCCACAAAAACCTAATGTTTCATAAAACATAGTTTCCTCTGTATTACGTTGTGTTTATTAACATTTTAAACGAAAAAAAATTACCAAAGGTTCAGCTAAAATTATAATATGCATATGTAACCGTTGTGAAAACATGAGTGAAGGTACCGGTACCTACAGTATTCGCTAGATCCTATTGTACGCCTAATAAGATTTTTTTTTTATGGGGATTAGCCCACCCGGGCACAGGTCACTGACCCACATCGGGGCCTGGGGGACGAAAATTTAAAAATAATAGTAATTCATAGTAAATAAAATTTATAATAAAAAGTAAAATAAAATAATAATAATAATAATAATAATAATAATAATAACACTGTAATAATGATAATAAAGAAAAGAAAAACAATAATCACTAGTGAGAAATGCTATATGTATAGTATGTTGTGTTGTCAATAGTAAGAGAAACAATTGAGATCCTGCAATTGTGTGTAAATGAGGAAGAAAGTCAGATCAGCAACCTGGGACTTGGTCACAATATTCGTGATGTCATATGGCAGCAGGGTCTACCATTAGACAACACATTATGCTTCCAATATCTTCCCAGGCGGTAGTACCTTCCTGTTTGGTAGCTGCCTGCTACCTACTACCTACAAGTGAATATCCTTTTTTAGTTTATAGAGTTTTACGTTTTATTATCACATAGAATAAGGAGGCCATTATCTGACCCACTGTCTCACAACACCAAACCTACAGTTATGTAAATGGAGGTTGCTGCATGTAGTACCGAGCACAATGCCTCTTATATGCCAAAAATAGACTTATATTAGTGTGCCGTATCCACACTGTCCCAAATAGGCCATCAGGCTTAAGGGACTCACTATATATATATATTTTGTCTACCTAACCATAATTCCCACAGAAATTGTCATCTTCAGCTTTACCATAAGCAGCTCTGTACCATGGCCATTACCGCCCCTACATGCTATGTATACTTGGAAGGATTCACAGCACCTTGTATAAATTAATCCACATAAAGAAACGGAGACTTACACTTCATCGGTACAGTTTAATGTCCTCAGGCAGTCTATATATGGCTATCCTCACAAATGAAATGAGTATCGAGACCATATTGTTGAAACAGAGATCTCCATCTTTTAATATGGGTTTGATTTACAAAACAAAAATGCACACCAAGCTACTGGAGCAGACCTTATGTAAGTTGATCACATCGCCCACTACTTCATAACTTCACTACGTTAATTCACCACAGGTCCCTCGCAGCTGTAGAGAACACTAAGTTATATCACATATTCAGATAAATACAGTTATTTGAACATTATGTAATTACTGCATGTGCTTAGGTATGTAAATATTGATAATTTAAATTTCCATCTAGACTCAAAAGTGAAGGCGTCATCTCCCCCGCCAGTAGTACAGGACTGTTCGACACTGCACCATGCTGGAGTCAAGGTTAACACACATAATTATGTTCTTAGTAGTGTGTGTGTGTGTGTGTGTGTGTGTGTGACAACAATAAATTATAAGAAGTCAGCCTAAACTTGTTCTCATTCTTATCACTGTTAATTCAAGTCTGGGATCCACACATGTATGTACAGTAGTGTGAGAGGAGTTAAACGCCTCGGTTATCTCATATTATACTACGCCAAACGTACTGTATGTGTCCACATTTGTAGTATAATTTTTTTACGTACTTTCTAGAAATGTAATTTATTATCGTGAAGCTTTTATATTCCTGTGATAAAATTCTGAATTATATAAAAATAACGAGTCAGTCCTGAGAGAGAGGGAGAAAGAGAGTGTGTGTGTAACATGAGATAATGACGCGAGCGTCATATGTTGAGGTGGTGTTTCAGCTAATTGAATGCAAGACCGGGTAATTGATGACATGAACGCCAACCAATTCTGTTCTAAGCAATACGATTGGGTGTTAGTTCAAATGGTCCCAGTCGTAATGGTCAAAAATTAAAATGGACACTAATCTTCATAAATAGGTTAGGTTTGGTTGAGTAGTATTAGAACTGTGGCTTCATCAAGACTCTTGCTGTATCCTCACTGTGCTAAAACGTTCGGTGACATAACATGTTCGTTGTGCGGACAGGGTAGCCAGTGTGGACCGTCATACAGCGACGGTAACAACTCTTTTTCTCTTGGTTCATCTAGCATGCTCTCATAATTTAAACATTGATGAGCTCTGTGTTAAACGCTCGCCAAGTGATTAATATGACAGTAGGGTTGCCATTTTGTTTATGTTTATTAAGAGGCTGTTAAGATACGAGAGTTTTTTTATCTAGTTATTTGTTTGACATGGGAGGCCGACATTAATGATATCTTCATCTTTTTTACCCGTGCATTAATTACAAACGTACGCGCCTGTACACGTACATATAATCCACACACACACACACACACACACACAGGCAGCCCCAGGATGTGCAGCAGAACTTCGCTCGGGATTGGGCAGACTACCGACAAGGATTTGGCCAACTGGATGAAGAAATGTGGATAGGCTTGGAGGCACTGCACCAACTCACCTACAGCGCCTCCTACGAGCTCAGGGTGGACATGGTCGACTATCAACTCGGACCCAAATACGCCCATTACAAGGTCTTACATTCAGAATTACTGTTGTTACAACCTTCACACCCTCTTCTAGGACTCACCAGAGGATGTATAGTCAGCCCATAGTTCCAATATATCGGAGAAAAGACTGAAATAAAACAACTTATGTTAACAGAGGTTAAATGTTAAACACAGGCCCTTACCTTATTTCTGGCTAACAACCTCTTGACAGCTGACAGGTGTTTATTTCAATACCACTGTTCCCATTAAAACTGGTTTAATCAAAACACAGCTTTAAAATTACAACAAAATATATTAACAACAAAATATAATAAATATGTGCTCTCCGTCCAGGTGCATACAAAAGGCCACAAATCAATTCACTCAGAATAATGTTATCTCCACCAAATGCAGTGCTCTCTCACTACTACAATACTCTTTAGACTATGTGAACATATTACACTTTAGTTAACACCATAATTATCCATGATTGTCCAGATAATAATCGATAAATGTGCACCACACAAGCTTGGCCCTCCTATCCTCCTCAACCTAGCTACAAAGAGTCCCGCCAAAACAATGTTCCAATACTTTCTTGTTTCATCAACATATAATTTCTAATTCTTTTTATACTTCACACCTGCTTCATACAGTCTTTCATAACTGTATACTGGACAAAATAAAAATACATTCTCCAAAGTTTACATAATGAAGCAAATACTAGTATACGTACTTATATAAAATAATCAGGGCATTTCTTAAAGTCTTTACAATAAGCTTGAAATTTCGATTCTAACGAAAAACGGAAAAGGACAGAAACTAAATACAATGGGCAACTGAAACAAATATTGAGGGAAAGGGGAGATGACCTCAGCACTGTATATCCTTTACCCCCTTGAATATATAAAGACCTATTCCCGTGAGTAAAGTGTCATTGTAGTCATGGATTAAGAGATCATATGCAAGAGATTAAGTCGTCATTAATCGTGCTCATCAATGGCTTTTCAGGTCGCATATTTATTATTATTAAATTACGCATTTTTCTGCGTGTGTCTGGGTGATGTCTGGATGGATATCTTTTTGCGTGGGTGTCTGGATGGATGGGTGTCTGTCTGTCTGTCTGTCTGGTAGCTGTTTGGGTATCTGTCTGGTAGGTGTCTGGATACATGCCTGATCGTCCGTTAGGATGGGTGTCTGGGTGTCTGTCAGGATGGATGTACAGTATGCCTAGCTATTTGTCTGAGTGTGTGTCTGTGGGTCTCTCTTATCTGTCTAGATAGGTGTCTGAGTGACTGTCATAGTATCTGTCTGGGTGTCTGAATGCGTATCTAGACGGGTGTCTGATTGTCTGTATAGGTTGGTGTCAGAGTGTGTCTGGGTGATTGTCTGGGTTTCTGTCAGGTTGAGTGCATACCTAGGTGGGCGTCTGAGTGTCTTTGGGTGGGTATGTGAGTGCGCGCACACAGGGTACTGTAATGCGTCTAGTGTGGCAGCATTAGGTTAGTGGCAAGGTTCAAGCACTGCTTGCTTCCTCTCACTTTCAGCTACCGCCGCTGGCAGCTCTCTTGGCCAACAGGGAAGCAACTTGCATAAATCTTCCCCTGCCAGGACCATAAAGACTCCTGTTGTGTCTCCTCGGTAACTGGGTGCCTCGTGGCCCCAGGCTAGACTATCAGGGGATTTCGGAGTAGCAGTGGGCCCCAGAGGGAAGGCTCATAGGTCCACTGGCTTGTGGACACATCCTGGCGCCTACCAACCACTGCCCTGCTGCCTTGCTGGATTAACCTTGGTAGATATATGAGCTGCAGGTAAACCCCGAATCATCATCGAGAACTGAACCTCGGCGAGGTAGGTTCTCTCTGCTCCCGAGGTACCACGTGACCATGTTCACCTGCAACCAGGCGAAGGTCGTTAGACTGTATCCAGTCAAGCGCCCTTCGCGCAAGCAACTCAACCTCCTTGTCCTGAGGAAGTTTTTTGACTCCTCGGGAATCACGGGGGTGACAGGGATCGTCCGCAGTGACAGCGGTGACCTTATCGTCACCTTCGCGGAATGGGGAGAGGCCCAGCAATTAGAAAACATAAGACAAATCAATGGGATCCAGATCCAAGTTGAAGCCTGCATAGAAGACAACTTGGTTTTGGGAGTCATCTCCCACACAGAAATCGAACATCTGGAAAAAGAAGAACTGGCCGAGCTGATCGGAGACCAGCTCTCAATAGTTCGGAAGCTGACCAGTACAGCTGCACTGGTTGGCTACCCAAAGAAATTACCTAGCACCGTCTTACTGGGATGGGAGAAGATCCCAGTAAGACCGTATCAGCGAAGACCTACTCGTTGCTACAAATGCCAGAGGTACGGCCATCTGGCGCGGAAGTGTCGTGCTCGGGAAGTGTGTTCCAGCTGCGGGACACCCGGGCACCAGGACACCAACTGCTCGGCGGCCGCCAAGAAGTGCGCAGCTTGTGGTGGCCCTCACTCCTCCTCCGACCGGGAGTGTCCCAAGTGGAGGGAGGAGTGCAGGGTGGCCAAGCTGCGGACTAAGGAAAGACTGAGCTACAAGGAGGCTCTCCTTGTAGTGAAAAATGAAGAAAAGACCAAGCAAGACCAGAACAAGATCACAACAAGCAAAAATCAAGACCCCAAGAAGACCACCGAAAAAGAAGCCAAAATTAAACCCGATTTCATTACACTATCTTTAACGCCGTTTATAGAAGTGTATGAGAATATTCCAGAAGAAGACCAAGAAGAAGAATGGAAATTGAAAAGCAAAAGAAGAAACAAGAAAAGGAAGAAGTCCAACCAATCAACTTCGGCCGAAATAGCCTAACGGCGCAGTGGCCAGTAATCTAATCCCCCCAACGAAAATCTGCAGGGAACCCCATCAGCCAGACATATATGTGGGCTCAATAAGACCCAACGGCGGTATAGGCAGAAGAGGTGACCACCGCAGTAACTTAACGACCACACACCGGCTGATATGAAGGCAGTGCACGATGGACAGGCTAAGGCGAAATCCAGCAAACTGGGATATTGGCAGTTCATTGCAACTCTCCCTCTCCCTGATCATTGCAACACTTACACCACTTTAACCCTGAAACAGTGCAGCAGCCCTTCTGTTGGTTAGGTAACCACTTATCCAGTGTAACAGCCTACCTCCTATATCCATTTTGGCTAGTTCGTACAATATCAGTTGCCTATTGGCAATATCAAATGCAGCTTTTAGGTCAAGAAACGTGGTGTATCTGTGCCTTTCATCACCATGCACAGTTACTTAAGAAAGTAAGAGTCGCAAAAGCCGGTTGGCCTGTGCATGGCAACTCCTGTCGAGAGTTACTACCACTCTATCATCCATGAATCTATCGAGCCTCCTTTTGAAACTTTCCAGAGTCCGCACTACTACAAAGTTGCTAAGCTTGTTCACTCGTCCACCACCCTATTTGTGAACCAGTTTCTTCCTATCTCCTCCTAAACCTAAACTTATCCAACTTGAATCCGTTGTTCGAGTCCTGTCCTGCTCGGATATTATAAGAACTTTTATATCCCCTATTGATTCCTTTCACCCACTTAAATACTTCTATCATATCTCCCCGCACTCTTCGTCTTTCTAGGAATGCAAGTTAAGTTTCTTTAACCTATCCTGATATGGAAGGTTTCTAAGTCCCGGAATCATTTTGTCATTCTTCTCTGCACTGACTAGTGAATTTATATCCATTCTATAATAGGGCACCAGAACTGAACCGCATAATCGAGGTGCGGCCTGACTACGCAAGATATAGTTGCAATAAGACCTCTGCACTCTTGTTACTTACACTTCTAGATATAAACCAATACTCTGTTTGCCTTATTTCGAACATCAACGCACTGTTTCTAGGCCGTAGGTCCGGCCATATACCCCTAGGTCTCTTTCACAAGTTAGGAATGTGGTGATGCAATTATGTACACCTTTACCATGGGTGAAGCCATTTATGTTAGGAGACATGTGTTCTCTGATTCTATATAAGAGTCTGCCAAGAACCATCCTCTCAAAGGTTTTACACAGGCAGCTGGTTAGTGATATGGGACGAAAAGCATCAGGCTGTCCTGGTTTCGGTATTGGTACAACAATACTGCTGGTCCATGATGTGGGTAGTTGGCCTCGGCATGACTCATATTGTACAATACCAACAATGGATTGCCTGGCACTCGCCTTAGTAGTCTAACGATGTTGTAGGTGACTCCGTCCTCTCCAGGGAAGTAGACCTACCCTGGCGAGGGCAGCGTCAAGCTCCCACTCAGTATATGGAACATCACACTCATCGTGCTGTTTGCCTAGCATAAAGCTAATAAGATTACTTCTCTCTACAGACTTCGCATCAAGGAGTCCCCGAGTCCTAGCTGGTAACATGTCATAGCTCGACACATGAGCCCACTTTGTTATTAGCTCATTCGACTTGCAGAGGGTTTGAGAGACGTGTCTACTGTTTTACCTCTGATTATGTTTATGTCTTTCCAGGCTTTGCTGAGGGATGTGTGTTGGTTCAGGCTGTTGACATATGTCTCCCATGCGTTTTGTCTGAGTTCGTTTACACGTTCCCTGACAGCAGCAAGGGAAGCTTGATACAATTGTAATGACTGAGGTGTTCTAATTTGTTTGTAACCCTTACCCACCCTCCTGACCCTAGCCCTGAGTTTTTCAGCTCAGGGTCATTATAACACTTCTGTTGCCTGTTCCCATTATGCTGAACACGTTTTCTCCTTGGTGGAGGCATTGTTGGTGAAGTATGTATAAGTCCTATCTATCAGATCGTCATGGAAACTTTGGTAGTTGTCAGGCTTGTAGTCCTTGTACCAGTCATGGATGAAGTCTATGAACTGGCTTTCATGTTCTTGCTTGACTGTGATTCTACGTCTGTTGAGTTTACCACCAGTGGGGGTGTCATTGGCTACATGTATACTAGCTTGGATTGGGCTGTGGTCAGACATAAGATCAGTGACAACATCAGAGCTATGAGTTGTGTATGATAGATTAAAGCCAATACATTTGTCTAGACCGCCATAGATGTGTGTTGGTTCATTATTACCTATATTTTGAACATCTTCATATGCGCTGAGAAGTGAGATAAGTCTCCTACCATTGGTGTTAGTAGTGGAGTCACCTAATTTCTTGTCTAGTATTCAGGTCACCCATCAGGACAGTGGGCTCAGTGTGTAAAATGTCTGGGAGATCTGTGTGCTGAAGCTGATCTGAGGGAGCATAGGCGTTTAGCACGTTGAGTGTGGAGTTGCCCAGGTGGATAGTGATCCCATGGTACTGAAGATTGGTAGTCTTTTTGGATACAAGAGGTACATGTGGAGTGACTTCTTAACATGCATCAAACATGCTCGGTGGTTGGGATGATTGTTCCATGGTTATTCCCCTTATGCTATTGGTGAGGAGATCCTGTATGACTGCTGGGTCGTTTCTAATCAGAACATGATCTTGTGTACCGACTCTGAACTGAAACTCAGCCTCTGGGTGTTTGTCTTCCGCATCGTTCAGCCAGAGATACTTGTCTTCAGGTGATGTACCTTCAGGGAAGTATCATCTTACTCTCATGGGGGTTTGTGGTTGTAGTTGATTGTCTCTAAGTCTTTCTGCCTTTTCGGCCTTCCGCTTGTTCCTGGACTGAACTAGTTGAAAGCCATCTTCTCCGTTGGTGTCAAGGTCAACACCACAGTCGCCTGGCTCACGCAGTGCATCAGGAGAGTTAAAGCGAGCAGCTGGGTCTCCAGTCAACTCAGACATGGTGGAGTTACAGGGCTCGACTTATATGCCTACGTCAGAGGGCCGAGGACTGCTTGGCACTCCTAGGAAGTCAGCGGTGGTTGGGAGGCGTAACCCTCTTAGAGGACAAAGGAGATTGGCATCTACTGTACAGCGTATTAGCAGTGTGAGGGGAGGCCATGAGCGGGCCTCCCGCGGAGGGAGTGTGGTGTCGGGGGGACTAAGGTAACAGGAGTATTCTCAGTTTATAAACACTTTTATTATACTACACTTGTTCTTAATAGCATGTCTGTTTTTCTGGTTAGATACAGTATCAAAGTCAATTTTAGTTTCAAAAGAACTAACCAGCTTGGCACACTATGAGGACGGGGGTTTGTGTAAACAAACCCTCACCACATGGCCGAGCGTGACCACAAGGGTATAGGCCTTGCCTCGCGGGCTCCTACACACCCCACAGTGCTCAACCCACGTTAGTTCACTTGTTATACAGGCAACATATTTGCAGTTGTTGACCTATCCCCACCCTACTGGGTGGTGTTGTGTTATTTCGAAGTCAAGTGTGAAGCCGACCCACTGTTGTTCTCAGAGTGGACTGATTAGCACCTCCTTGTCAGGAGATGGCGGTCAGTACCCAGCGGTGCTTATCTCACTGGCGGGTCACGGCTCTCACTGGTACTGTCTAGTACTGAATTCACTGGCTTAAACACTGTTCTTAACTGTTCAACACTGGTTCCACTTCTTTCCGAAACGAAATGCCACTTTTGATTATGTTGATATCCCGGTGGTGAGGATGGGTCGGGGAGAGGGACTTGGGGAATGGGCCGAACATTGGCCAAGGGTGAGAGCTGCTCAGCAGGAGCAGCGCCTAAATAGGTCTTGACCCTACGGTGGTCAGGTCATCACTGGCGTCTGTGGGTGTGTGCCTTGAGTGTCTGTCTGGGTGGGTGTATCTATCGAAGCGAACTTGTGGGTTTATACTTGACCCTTTCATTATTACTCTCTGAACCATTAAGAGGTGCAAGAATTTTTTATGATATCAGTGAAAGAAGAAATTGCTGAGAGTCTACAGATAACAGGAGGAGTGGTAAGGAGGTAACACGCTGCACGTGAGGACAGGTGTTACAACAGGAAATTAACAAGTTGCACGTGTTGACAGGTGTTATATGAGACAGATACACTAACACGTTGCACGTGTTGACAGGTGTTGTATGAGACAGTACACTAACACGTTGCACGTGTTGACTGGTGTTATATGAGACGGTACACTAACACGTTGCACGTGTTGACAGGTGTTATATGAGACAGTACACTAACACGTTGCACGTGTTGACAGGTGTTATATGAGACGATACACTAACACGTTGCATGTGTTGACAGGTGTTCCGCGTGGGGCCAGAGAGTGACGGGTACCGCCTGCTGGTGACTAACTACTCAGGGAATGCCGGGGACGCTCTCTCCCGCTTCCACTCCGGCAGACGGTTCTCCACACTCGACCGTGACCAGGTGAGTCACCCTCCAGGTGAGTCATCCTCTCCAGGTGAATCTCCCCATCTAGGTGAGTCTCCCTCTAGGCGAGTCTCTCTCTCCAGGTGAGTCTCGCTCTTTAGGGGAGTCTCCCTCTCTAGGTGAGTCTCTCTCTCCAGGTGAGTCTCGCTCTTTTGGGGAGTCTCCTTCTCTAGGTGAGTCCCACTCTAGGTGAGTTTCCTTTTCTGCGTGAGTCTCCCCATCTAGGTGAGTCGCCCTCCAGGTGAGTCTCGCTCTTAGGCAGTCTCCTCTCAAGTGAATCTCCTCTCTGGTGAGTCGCCCCAGGGCTCAGCTCCCACAGGCAGCTCCGGCCCTCTGTGATCGCCCAGTAGCCTCCGTGACTCCTTCTCCAGGTGAGTCTCCCATCAGGCAGCTAGTCTCTCCAGGTGAGTCTCGCTCTTAGGCGAGTCTCCTTCTCAAGGTGAATCTCCTTCTCAGCCTTCTCGGGCCTCCGTGTCCCTCAGGTGAATCTCCATCGGCGATCTCCCGGTGAGTCCCGTCTAGTGCCTCTCGTAGCTCTCGGTGAGTCTCCCCATCTAGGTGAGTCTCCTTCTCTCTGTGAATCTCCCTCTCCGGGTGAGTCTCCCCATCTAGGCGAGTCTCCTCTCTAGGGAGTCTCCTTCTCTGGGTGAGACTTCCTCTCTAAGTGAGTCTCCCTCAGTCTCAACAGGTGGGTTAGCCTCACCAGGTGGGTCAGATTAAACAGATGGGTTAGTCTCACAGGTGGGTCAGGCTCACTTTAGTTGGATCAGCCTCAACAGGTAAGTTGACCTCAGCAGGTGGGTCAGCCTCACCAGGTGGGTCAGCCTCACCAATTGGGTCAGCCTCAATAGCCTCACTACAACATGAAACGCAACCCACATACTGTATGTTGATCCAGTTACCATCATTTCCGCGTCTTAATATGGTTAAGTTTGGTCATGATGTTGGCATTACTTCTCCAGCTTTCACCACGATCATGGCTATACGTAGCTTTACTTATTTTGTGTGAGTGTACATGTGTGTATACGTGCATGCATGTGTCTGTGTGTGTGTGTGTGTGTGTAAAACTCACCCTTGATATGAGAAACCAGTGGGATACCTTCATTAAATCTCGCTTGACTGTTCGTACGTCAGCCAGTCACAACAAATAATTTGTAAATGTTTCACTATACAGCCACGGAAATAGTTCTCTCTGAATCTTTAATTGTTGATATATCTTATGCAATATCTAGATTAGTGCACGCGCTTACAGATCTTCGCTATTGAAGTCTTGTGTTACATAATCACATCAATATGCATGTTTTTAGTTTAGTCTTCTTAAGGCTGTATGTTGCAGAATCTAAAGACGTGGAACAGTTGCGGAAATGTGTTCCCATTCCCCCTGTGGTAACCCGTGTCTCCAAACGGCCAGCCTATAATTATGACCTATAGAAACCTATCCACAAATTACGTCCGTCGTTACACGACCAATACCCATTCATTCATAAACAGTGATACTACGACTGAGCCGGTGCCGTTTGGAGACACGAGTTATCACAAGGGTCTTAAACACATTTACGCAACTGTACCTAATAACCCAGGCAGATGGAGCACATAGAATAATAACAACTTCAATTGTCTATAATCTCAGTGGTGAACAACCTTAGGCCCATCGAGGTTCAGAGTGCGGCGCGCCAGGATTTGTTTTTATTTTTTAGAACTTGCTTTGTAATGCAAGCATAAACAAATTTGTACTTAAATTGATAACAACTGGTATTATGAGTTATCATCACAATATACGAGTACTGTTCTACTTACAGTTAGCTGTCATTATGATTTCGGTATAATCACATTTTCAAAGATGCGGCCCACTGAGATGTGGGAGGTGCACTCATGCGGCCCTCAAATTAACTTGGGTTACTCATCACTGGTCAACCAATCGATCAGAGTACCGTCCTCATATCTGAATGTTGGCAACCAAAGACCTTCACTCTAAACGTTCTCGGGGTGTTTTTACCAATCCTCTAAGGCTTGTATCTCTCTGGGGACCCAGTTTTTAATTTCATCCACCTATCCCTACCTTCCCCTGGCCTTCCTTCCCTCAACTTTGCCTATTAATATTCATGTTATTATTCCTTCATCCATCATTATACGACCAAATTTATCTCAATTTTATTTTCTCTACATTTCAAGTATTTCTCTTGAAGTTTTTGCTAACCTTAGTACTTCTTCAGTTGTTTTCTTGTCAGTGTAGCTTATTCTTAGTATTCGCCAATAACGCCACATTCCAAAGGCCTCCAGCCTCTTTCTGGTGTCTGTTGAAGTGTCCACGCATCTCAACCCATACATCAGTCCTTGCCTTGTAAAACATTTCGGCAGCCTTTTTCTCAAACCTAAGTTAATGTTCCTTTTCATTGGGTCTTTTATATTATTAAATGCTGTTTTTGCTTGCCCTATTCTTCTTTTGATTTCTTCCATACATCTACCACCATCACAGTTAATGTTGCTTATCATAATTTTTATTTTAGGGTTTATTTCTAATTAGGAAACAAATATTACTAGTCTTTACAGCATTATCTCTAAAGCCATATTTTTCACCTTTTTCCACTAATCTCTCAACGAGTTTTTGTAATGTCTCTTCAATATTTGTGATAAGAGCAGCATCACTGATACAGTACTACTCTATAAAATCAAATGAGGATAAGATGAGTGCTGCAATTTTCGGTGTACTCGTATGATGCGAAGATACCCTAATACCTATCCAGATATTGAACACCCTAACGTTTCTTTGGGGGGTTAGGTTAGGTTAGGTAAGGTTAGGGCGCACATAATCCTAAGGTGAAATAACCTGTAGGGAGCTAATCTTCATACCATCCAGTAGCAGATATATTTTGTTTTTCCAACTGTCTTATTTTGTTTCTTTATTTTATCATAAATTCCGAGGATGGAAGTTTAATGATGAGAGAGGGACGGGATCCTTGTGCCATCTGTTGGAGAGCCACACAACACCGTCTTGGATGGTTTAGACGAGTATTCCTTAGATTAATCTCAACCTTATATAGCCTAACTTAACCTAAATATTCTAACCTAATGTAACAATACGTATCCTAATGTAACTTTAATTAACCTATCGTAACTTAACTTAGCTTTAATGATCATGACCTAATCATATCTCGCCCAGCCAGCTTAAAGGTTAAAGATATTCTAACTGTGTCTTGGTAATCCTACTCTAGCTTTACCTAACCTACCTACTCAACCTAGCTTACTCTTAGTGAACCTCGTCATGCCTTGTCGACACGTAAAGTGTGACGTGAGTTGTGTTATACAAGTACCTGCCACACACTACGTTGTCATGACCCGACAACTGCTCATGCCTCACTAAATTAAAAAGCCACGAAAAATTTACATTAGCTATTTTAATAAATTAAAAATCTGTTTGTGCCATAAATAACTGTTCTTGAGGAGAAATGTATAAACAGCCGATACCTTATAATATTAAGCTGAGCATTTACAACACCAGAAACAAGTAATAGTGAAACAGTCACTGATCCAACCAACAGAATCAGATGACAATAACACACAAATAAAAGAACACATTCAAAGTATCATCAAGCAATGAAATTCATGTTACGATGGATTGGGAAGAAGTTATTCGGGTAAAGGTTAACACTGAGAATTTTATCATGATAACCGTCTCCATCTCTTATCTTTATTATCATTAACATGGTTACGGTTTAATGCAGGACCTAGCCAGGAACAAGAGCTGTGCCCGGGACAAGGAAGGAGGATGGTGGTTCCACGCCTGCTACGCCGCACACCCTAATGGTCGTCATCCAACCACCCCCAGCAGGTCAGTTAAGGATATGCAACTTGGCACCCCCTAAGGTGGAGTACTTACTTCCTCTTTGTTCAGTGTTCTTATGAATGCATTATTAAAATCAATCCAAGACAGCCCCAGCAATATTACTGTTAGCTATGCAGATAATCTTATACATACTAAAACTCATCGTGAAATTCAAACCACCCTGAACCATGTACAGTCAGCCTATGAAAACCTTGGTCTCATCATCTCCACTGAGAAAACTAAAGCATTCAACAAACAAGCTGGTAACCGCAAAAGTGAACCACCAAAGCTTAAGATAGGTAACAACACTATTGACTATGTCTCCTCTTTTAAATATCTCGGTTTCTCTATTCCCTGTACCTCACCTGCCATAGAGCAACTAGCCCACATTATGGCGCTAATATCAGAATTGTCAAAACAATGACCAGTAACAGTGTGGAAAAACAGAAGAAGGCAGAGCATTCCATAGTTTAGCTGTGTGAGGAAAAAAGGATGTACTATAACGGGCTATTATAGTATGACTGACATCCACAAGGAAATGGTGGGCACTGCATGCATGACGTGTGTTACGAGCCCACGGCCTTGCCGGCGGTACACAGGATGCCAAATCCACCGAACATTGCCCGTTAAAGTACCTGTAATAGAGAGAGAGTGAAGCAACATTGCGGCGAAGAGAAGGGGAAGAAGAATGATCAACTAAAGGAGGAGAGTTAATAAGACGAAATGCCTTTGATTCCACCCTATCTAACAGTTGGACAGAAGAAGAGCCACCCCAGATATGAGAACAGTACTCCAAGTTGGGACGACTGAATCCCTTATATAATTGAAGCAACTGCTCAGGAGTGAAGTAGCTACGGCATCTATACAGCATTCCCAGCTTTCTGGAGGCAGATTTAGCAATGTTGAGGATGTGTGGCTTCCATGACATATTAGAGGAAATGGTGAGGCCTAGCGTGTCTATTTTTTAATTTGGCAGCATGATGGCGTCCTGAAATGTGAAATTTGGAAAGTGTAATTGGTAAATAGTGGGTTTTATTACTATTGAATTTAACCAAGTTGCTATCGCCCCATTCGGAGATGCTGCACAGATCCACATTGATAGATGTAATGATATCTGCTCTAGAAATAGATTTAATTTGAGAGTTAGGGGGAAGGGGAAAATGTGAAGAGTGAAGAGTAGAATCATTTGCGTAAGAATGGATAGAATGAGTCGTAGCGTGAAGAAAATCCTTGATAAAAAGAAGGAAGACAGTAGGTGAAAGAACAGAACCCTGTGGGACACCACTATTGGTAGAGAAAGAGCGAGAGATCGATCCCTCGACAACAACTGCCATGGATCGGTTCTCAAGGAAGCTAGAGATTAGAGAACAAAGTGGGGGAGAGAAACCATAAAAGGATAGTTTAGAAAGCAAAGACTTGTGCCATACCCTGCCAAATGCTTTGGAGATGTCGAGGGCCACGACGAAAGTTTCCCCATAATCCCTAAGAGAGGATGACCAAAGATGGGTGCAGTAGGAGAGCGGATCACCAGTAGATCTCGCCTGGCGAAAGCCATACTGGTGATCCGACAAAAGAGAATGGCGTTCAAGGTGACGGAGAAAATGGGAGTTCAAGATAGTTTCGAAAATCTTGGAGAGGGATGAAGCTAAGGCAATGGGACGATAGTTAGAGGGATTAGAATGGTCACCCTTCTTCTGGATGGGCTGAACCAAGGCCTGCATCCAAGAAGAAGGAAAAGTTTGTGTTTTGAGGCAAAGGCGAAAGAGACGACCAGTACACTCCCTCAGAACACGAGGGGGTATTTCGTCAGGTCCAGGCTCCTTACTCACATCCAACCTGGATAACACACCAGTAACCTTACGAATGGATATTGTAGATAAGTGCATAGGTTCAGTAGTAGGAGCAGGAGCAGGAGTAGGAGGGATAGAGTTGGAATCGTCTAAGGTGGAGTTAGAGGAGAATAAGGTTCCAAAGAGATTGGCTTTGTCAGGGGGAGAGTTGGCTATAGAGTTATCAAGTCGGAAGAGACGAGGAAAAGAGGGAGTGCAGAAGTTATTACAGATGTTTTTGGTTAAGGACCAGAAGGATTTACTTGAGGAAGAATTAGTCAGGACAGCGGTCTTTCTTTTTTTATAAAATTCCGCTTAGCCCTACGAAGAATAACCTTACAACGATTCATAGAAGTAATGAAAGAGGAGTGGGTAATAGGAGAAGGAGATAGTTTCATAGCTTGATATGCCCTATCTCTCCCCCTACATGCAAGAGAGTAGGAGCGATCAAACCATGATTGTAAAGTGAAAGTTCTGGTAGAAGATGGGATAAATGCACTTATGCCACCCTGTATAACCCCAGTGGAAAAGTAAAAGTCATCCCAAGGAAAGTCGTTGAAGAATTTCGCAAGGATTGTCAGTTTGCCCTCCGATAGTGCCCTAATTGACGTTTAGAGGGGGGTGGGGGAGGTGGTCGTGCCCAGTTTGATTTAATACAAATAAGATTGTGATCAGAAGACCCTAAGGGGGCATAAATTGATTATAATCAATTTATGCCCCCTTAGGGTCTTCTGATCAACAGCCAAAATGGTTCATATATGAGATCATGCTCACACAACTAATTTCATATTGCTAAATTCGAATCTGATATTTGTTTTGTTCTATCAGACCAGGTTTTATAAAAAATCAATAGGTACAAATATTTAATATTCCATCACGTGTCGTGCAAAAGATGAGATTATCTCATGTGACTGTGCTTTCATGACTAATTTCATATTAATGAATATTAATTGGATGTTTCATTCTACCATCAGACCTACTTTCTTAAAGAATAAAAAAAATAGTAAATATAGTAACATTATCGCGTCATGCAAGATACAATTTTAAACCTATCACAGATAAGCTCATAAAAAATTGTACCAAAAAACATAAGTTCAAATCCTTTATAATGACAAAATATGAAGTTCTAAAAGTGCTTCTGAACTTTACTCTTTCTCTTGTACAGCTTGCTCTCTTCTCGTTGCAGTGTCCAGCAATAGTCGCCCATCATGTTAGGACTGAATTGTCCCTGATATCTGCTCTCCATTATGGCGATATCTTGATGAAATCTTTCGCCGTGTTCATCACTAACGTCTCCAAGGTTACCTGGGAAAAATTCAATATGAGAGTGGAAAAAATGCAATTTCAAGGACATCCTTGCTCCCAATGCATGATAATTCTGAAGCATGGTTGTTACGATTTCTTTGTAGTTGTCAGCACGATAGTTTCCAAGAAAATTCTTTGACACATTGACAAATGATTCCCATGCTTTTTTCTCCAGTGGGTTCAATGTTTTGGTGAATTCGCTATCATTAACTAGTATACGAATTTGTGGTCCATTCAAGACACCTGCTTTCAACTTGGCTTCGGAAACCACACCACCTAGTTTCTGAGATAAGTATAGAGTCCCAGCACCGAATTGATCCATAGCTTTGATGAAATTTTTAGCCAAACCGAGCTTTAGATGCAGTGGAGGCAAAAATATCTTTTCTGGATCTACAAGCGGATTGTGAGCACAGTTAAACCTTCCAGGCGCATCTCTTGGTCTTGTCGGCCAATCCTTTCTCACATAGTGCTCTGCATCAGCTCTGCTGTTCCACAAGCACAAAAAGCACATGTGCTTTGTGTAGCCACTCTGAAGGCCCAGTAGTAAACTGATGACTTTGAGATCGCCACATATCTTCCACTGGTGTTTCTCATACTCTATAGCGGCCAACAGAATTTTCATTGTTTCATAGCTCTCAGTCATTTTTGTTGCGTGTGCTATTGGGACAGATGGAAGCCGATTGCCATTGTGTAAAAGAACAGCTTTCAGAGAGTCTTTTCCTGAGTCTATAAACAGCCTCCAATCCTCTGTCTTGTATGTTTCAGACTTGCAGAGTTGTTGCATGAGAGATACTGCGTCCTCGCAATAACAAAGGTTGTTTGCCATCTTGAAAAATGCAGACAGCTGTCTATGTCGGTAACGCGCTGTAGTGATATGCACTCCATCTTCTAGCAGGTTACGCTGCTTTAGTCTGGATCCCAAAACTTCAGCCTTTTCTTTTGACAAGTTTAGGTCCCTGATGAGATCATGAAGCGCTTCTTGAGTAAATAGTTTAGGCCTGGTATTTTCAGAGTCATCCTGGTAGTCGTTTTCCATTGAGGTAGAGGTAGAATCGGAATCACTCAATTCTTGTTCAGTCGGTGGATTTGGGACTGGAAGTTCAGCACTGTGCGGTACTGGTCGGATTGCAGAAGCAATATTGGGGTACTGTACCTTGCCTCGTGTCTTGATTTTTATTCCCTTAATATTTGTGAGACAGAAGTAGCAGTCACTACTGTGGTCTTTAGGTTCACGCCATATCATTGGTACAGCAAACGGCATTCCTGAACTTCGTTTACCACACATCCACTCGCTCAGGTGGTTAACACAAGACTTACAGGCTACATGAGGTGCCCATTTCTTGTCTTGGTCACCCAAATGACATTTGAAGTAACTTTTGTAGTTCAGTCGAACAGCTTTTGTGATTGGTTTCTTGAGGCTACCAGGAGTGAAGGCACCACATATGTAGCAAAAACTGTCAGCACCTTTCACACACTTGCGACGTTCCATGTTTTGTTAATTTCAGAGTAATTACAAATCATGCAGGTGTAGATATGCAATATCATGAATCAGCAAACTGAAACAAACAAAAAAGCACAAATCAGGACAAAATAATTGCATAAGTGGAGCCAATGAGCATATAAATTACTGTATGAATAGCATGGTACACTAAATATATAGATATGCTGGTTCTGGAAAACTGAGCCTGATACAGCTATACGAATGTCATAATTGAGTTCAGCACATACAATTACACTAGAATCAGACTGTTTTGATCCAGAACCATGAGAATTTTTTTTTATGTTGACCAGTGTTATGAATAGTGTGAGGGGTTAGAGGTAAAACAAAGATCAAGAATGTTAGTAAGTTGATCAGGAACGCTTGTAGGGTGT